CACTCTCTTAAAAAACCAGAGTCCGCAGTAGAGTCGCCAAGCTGTCGGAACGAGTATTTCAGGCGAAAATAAGTGTTGTTATTTTCTAAATCTTGTCTCAAAAAATTTAGTGTTTTTCTTTTTTGCATAAGATAAAATACAATTTAAGGAGTCGCCACCAATCATTGATCAAGGTGTGATTGGTCACCAAAACACTGGGTTATTTTAATAAAATTTATAAAAATATTATTAAAACAACACAAAAGGGGTCTGCTTACCAGAAAATGAGTTCGAGAGTTGGTTACATATGAGAAAGGATTAGCACCCCACAACACCCAAAATTGGTAAATTTGTTCATTAATTAAATGTCTTTGCAGTAAAAATTTACAAATCTAAATTTAATTTAATTTATTATCCATCCAACAAATATCATGTATTATTTTATACCAATAATCATTTAAAATACATTTCTAATAAGTTAAGGAAAAAAAATTCTGATTCATTGAATAAAATAATTTAACCCGAATACATATAATAAATTTAATGATTAAATCATAAAAATATCAAATTTATAGGTTATTATTGAAAATACTTCATATTTTAAACACTTCAATTATAAATAATACTATAATCTTATTTAAAAGTAAAATATTAAAATAATAGGGATTAAATTATAAAATATCAAAATCAATGGTCACAAATCGAAATATCATGAAATCTAGTTATTAACATTGTAATTTATCCTATTTACTATTCAGATTAAAATATAAATTATCAAAATCTAGAGGATTAAATCTGATATTTATCCTAAATATATATATGCATGATTAGGTGACTACAACATAATAAAATAAAATCTAAAAACCAAATTAGAATGCACAAAAACAAGATTTCAGTGACCAAATTATAAATAGTACAACATAAAGGGACCACATATGTAATTTACCCATGCACAAATTATACAGAAATCTCTCCCTTGAACTACTTCGTTTCAGGGAGGGTATAAATACCTCTTAAACCAACCTTTAAGGCCATTTCTCTCATTTTCACTCTTCTGTTTCTCTCCTTTAGAGAGAGAAGCTATCCCTTCTCCTAGATTTCCCTCACCAGAGGGAAATTGAGCACCGACTGCCACCGTACTCCGTCGTCGATAGCCACCACTTGCCACCATTCACGGTGGTCAGAGTTCACAAAAATACACTGAAATGACCCCCTTTTTATCCTAAAACCGAATTCGGCCTCTATTCTTCCTAAAAACCCACAATACACAGTAAATCTAGACTTTTTACCTTTGACGTTTTGACTTTCTGATAGCGCTTGGAGACTCTGACGGTTGTGGGTAAGTCTTCTCTCCTTTCTTTTTACTTTCGATTTGCTACTGGTTATTGTGGATTGCATTTTTATTCGTAGCTTTCTCTCTGTTTTTGTATCTCTCTCTTTGTCCTCTGTTCGTTCGTGTCTCTCTCTATTTTTTTTCTTGCAGGATAGGTGGCCTTTTATAGGCCTCGTAGTACCGTTCACAATGATGAACTCTCGATGAGTCACCGGAGCTATGTTGGTGACTCACCCTAGGGTCGATGAAGTGTGCGGTGGTTTAACTGGGTGCATAAGTGCACCCAGATCTTTCTGGATTCAGCTGGTGAGGTGGTGGCTGCTGGTTGGATCACCTGGAGGCGGAGACGGTGAGGTTATCGTCAAGCTAAGGCGGCGGCCGGAATAGCCCTATGGTTGTAATGAAACCCTAGGGTTTCTGCTAGACGAATCTGGGCCCTTATATTTCTATCTTGTTCTGATGGCTAAGATTGCTGGCATCTGGAGATGTGTGAGAAAACTAGCAGAAAACCCTAAATGGGTCTTGGGCCTGATGGGTTATCTGTACCTAAATCGATTTTGGGCCTATCTCGGGTCAAACTTGTAAAACGGGTTCCAGGTTTTGTTATTAATTGAGCCTACAGACTTGTTGTATTATTTGTAATAATAATAATAATAATAATATTATTATTATTATATTATAGATACGTAAACTCGGACGAAAATGACTGTCGACACTTAGATTGCTCGATTGTCAGCTTGAGAATTATGTTGTTGATATTTGTTCAGATAAAAGATTTTGTGATCGAAAAAGACTTTGTGATTTATTAGAAAATATGGTTGATGCAATGAAGCGTGTTGCATACCCACTTGTGTACTTACTTTTGAAGTTAGCTTTGGTTTTTCCGGCTTAAACCGCAACAGTAGAAAGAACATTCTCTATGATGCACTTTATGAAGAATCGACTACGCAATTGTATGAGAGATGAATGGTTGAATAATTGCTTAATTACTTTTATTGAGAAAGATATATTTGATAATGTAAACAATGAAAAGATTATACAATGATATCATAAAATGAGGTCGAGAAGGTAACAAGTGTAAAATTTATGTTTAGTTGTACTTTTTTGTAAACTTTTTATTATAATTAAAATATTATTAGCGTTTTTATCTTCAAAAATTTTATTATTAATATATGAGTACCCAAATTGAAAAAAATTCTTAGATCCGTCATAGCACACAAAATTGAATTCACAAAATCTTAGTGAATCATAAATTCACTCACTCCAAAACTTAATAAACCCTCATCAAAATATCACGTCCAAAACAACAAGAAAATTAGAGTTCAAAGTTAATTAAAAAAATCACGTTTTAAAAGAGTTTTGCATTTAGGTTGTAGATGAAAATTTTATAGAGGAAAAAATAAAGAAACATAAACACTAAAAGATTGTTACTTGCTCACGAGAACCAAGTGTTTTGTAACATGACAGTCAATAGCGGAGCTAAGTAAAGACATGTGGGGGACATTACCCCAAAAAAATATTCATTAATAAATAATATAATATAATATATATTTTTTTTGCATTAAGCCTCCTCAAAATTTGAAAGTAAAGCCAATATTAGTTGGCTCTGAATCACCCGCCTCTAAACTCCTTCTACAGCTTTGATCAACTGAATCTAGGTAGTAGTTGGCACCAAATCACCTGCCTCTAAACTCCTCAAATCACCCGCCAATATTATTTGGCGCCAATATTAGTTGCCTGCCTGGATTCAATAATGGACTTACCATTGGTATAAAAAGGTAATATTGCAAATATAAATAATTAAAGGGTAAAATAATTAAATGATTACTAATGTTTGGGAAAGTTTTCATTTTTACCACTGATGTATCAACAGTCATAAATTAGCCACTAATGTTATCGTTTGTTACAAATTGGTCAGTCGACATTAACAGCTGTTGACAGGCGTGACAAAAATCAAACGTGGGTCGTTAGATGCTTACTTGGACGGTATAATTATAAACATAGTCCATGCTATTTATATATTCTTTCAATTTGATCCTAATTTTAATAAATTAAAATAAATTTATCTACGAATCAGGATAAAAATATATATATTTAAAGTATATATTTTATTATAAATATACCTAAGGTTATTGCTACTATTTATTGAATTAATTTTGTATAATTATATAAATTAGGTCACTAATTTTTAGTTCAATTAACCAAATTGTCATAAGTTATACAATTATACAAAATTGATTCAGTAAATAACAATAATAATCTTATGGATTATTATTATTTTTAATTAATATATATTTTTTAAAATTTGGCTTAATACACATTTTGTTGTTGTAGTCAACTAGAATCAACAATATTATTTTTTATTTTTAGTTTTATCAATTTATCATTCGTACCCATTAGTGTTATCTTTGATCTATGAAACATGACATTGATTATTACGGTATCGACGTAACAATTAACTGTGATGACATGATAGTCTATGGTGTTGTTGTGTTAAATCACTTTAATTGATTTTTTTAAAAAAGTTTAAAGGAGTTATTATGTTTAAATATTTATTTAATTTTTAAACAACAAAATAAGAAATTCTTAAAATTCTTAAATGTAACGAATACAATAAGATGAGACACATTTAAAATTTTTATTGTAAAATCAAAATTCTTATTAATATATTCACATAAAAAATAAAAAAATAATAACTAAATGATCATTTAAAAACTCAAATCGGTGTCATCTTAGTATAAAGTATATAATATAAATTAATAAAGTGTTGTTTAATATAAAGTATAGAGTATATAAAGTGTTGTTTAATTTATTCAATTTTTTATTTCCAATTTCATGTTTGTTTAATTTGGTACTTTATATATAAAGTATAAAATATATAATATAAAGTAATAAAGTGTTTGAATATAAGTATTAAAGTATATAAATATAAGTATTCAATATAAAGTATATAAGTACAAAAGTATATAATATAAAGTATTAAACTATATAATATAAGTATTAAATATAAAATATTAAAGTATATAAATATAAGTATGAATTATAAAGTATATTAGTTATCATAATTAATTTATTAAATATATTTATTAATTTAATTATCATAATTAATATTTTATTATAACATTTAAAAATTAGTCATATTAATTAGTATGATTTATTATAAATTCAAAATCTCACAATTTTATTAAAATCTTATATTTCATCAATGGTGATATATAAGTCAGGTAAATGTCAAGTCATGTAAATATCATATCAATAACAAGTCAGATCATTTGCAGGTCAGGTTGAAAACAGGTCGAGTAATACCAGTTATTTACCAGGTCAATCTCGGGTTCGGGTTCATATCAGTCAGATGCAGGTCGGGTTCTGGTATCATATTTTTGGTTCAATTCGGGTTCAGGTCATTATCAGGTCGGTTGTAGGTCATGTTCAGATCCACAATTTTCAAGTCCAACTCGGGTTCAGGTCAACACCAGTTTCGACTTGAGTCAGTTTCGAATCGCTACAGCACAGGTCAAAAATATTTTTGACTCGATCCGGTTTCAGTCAATTTTACATGTCGGGTCAGTTTTTTACACCCCTAGACTCAACCAAATTGACTCAAAGTCTTTCACAGTGGTGGAGCCGTGGTCTCATTTAAATTGGACTGTTTAACCATAAAAATTGGTGAGCCCAAACAAACCCAAAATTTCACAGTCCAGTCCAATAAAACTCAGATTCTTCTCCCTCTTCAAGCTTCCATTTTAGCTTCGTCTCAGAAACCCTAAAGCCTTAAATTTCCATCGGAGAAAAGGGGGCTCTACAATTTAGCTTTACCAGTTCCAAAGAAAGGTAACTCATTCATTTTTTGTATTGCACCGTTTGTTTACTAATAGATAGATGAAACTGAGATAAAAAAATGAATTTCTTTTTCGGCCCCTTTTTTTATTGGTTTCCGAGAAACCAAACAAAAACCAAGCCCATATTTATTTTTTATTTTGTTGGAATTGTTGCTTAATCGATCAGTTCTGTGAAGTTTGATTATTTAGTGTGGATGTTCACAATAATATATTTGATTTGACACTTGAACATTGTTTTAAGAGGCTTCAAATCTTGTTTCCATGGTATCTGAATGATGAAGATAAATGAAAAATGCCGGTCCTTTTAAAATTTGAAACCTATAAGCAATTAAGCATATTCTGGTAGTATGAATTTGTAGGTGTGAACTTTGACCGCACTTGCATTATTTCTCCTCGATATTTGCTCTTCCCTTAAAGTTAAGATGTTGGCTGAAGGGTAATGTACTTCTTTAAGGTATGAGCTATGATAGGATTGTATGTATTATAAATGGATGGGAGATTTACATTTTCTCTCCTCTCTTGAATATTTACAACTCCAATGAAGCTCCAATTTCATGGTTATCCTCTCTACATGTCATCTTTTAACCTCTTGGGCATCTCTTTATGTGATAAGAAACTGTATCCAGACACTCTTCAGTTTTATCTACAAAGAGTACCCAATCCTGAGAAATTTCCATATGTTTTTCTTTTTCGTCATCTAATAGATTTGCTTTCGTGAATGAGTATTCACCATCTGGTTTTAGCATACAAACTTTTTTGAAAGTTGTGGTGAAAGATGCAAATGCATCCTGTCTGTCCATGTTTCTATGCCAGGTACATGTATCAAGCAGATTTCTCATCCAAAATGTGTACAATGTCAAGTTCTTTTATTTGTTTCCTTATTTTTGGAGGGTCCAATAATCATACTCATGTCTATCTGAGGTGTCTACTATGTCTTGAACTTGATTATGGGCAAGCGTGAGGAGTTAATGTAAAAAGGGGATCCTATGAAATTTTGACCATTGTGGTTGTGATTAGATTCCCTAAGATCCTGTTGTTAGAGGATGATATCATTTTCTTTTACTATAATCATAAGACAATTGAAGAGATGACAGGGATAACAGATACTCGTCAACTCTGTGGATTACTGTATATGAATTATGATTGATTGACTCCTTTATCAAGGTTATTTGGTTCATATTAATGATTTGATATAAAAATATATAAACGTGTTTCGTCATCTTTGGAATTTCTACAATTATTGGCATAAATTTTACAGGGATAAAGTTATGGCATTAAATCAAATCAGATCATTGAAAAGTGTCATTATTGCCAAGGATGCAGTTGGTGTGGGACAACGAACATTTTCTGCTGCTTCTGGAAAAGCCAAGAAGGGCTCTAAAGGTGCAGCCAGTGATGCGCCAAAAGCTTCAACACTCAGCAAAGAAGTCAAGTCAACAACCGTGGTTGGTGCAAATATACTCAAGGATGGAGCGGATCCAAAAATCTTGCCGGATTCCGAGTACCCTGATTGGCTGTGGCATCTGCTTGATAAACGTCCAGCATTGAGTGAGCTAAGACGGAAAAACATTGAAACACTTCCTTACGAAGATCTTAAACGCTTTGTGAAGTTGGACAACCGAGCTCGTATAAAAGAAAACAATTCGGTGAAGGCCAAAAATTGATGGTAGTATAAAAGTACTTTCTACTAAACCTTATTTCCTTATCAAGAATGATGCGCCTAATCTTCTAAGATTACATATATTGATTGATTTGCATTGTGCAATGATGGAATTGAAATTATGTTAAAGCGCAAATAATTAAGCAATCTCCATGTTTCCAAATACAGCTCTGCAACTTTGTTAGCTTTTTCTTTTAGGTGTTTTGGTTTTCCCGTTATTTTAAAAATTAAGGATATCTGTATAGCAGAAATAATCTACCATGTTCAATGGTGAAGAATGGTTATATAGCTGCTTGTTACAGTACCATGGAATCCTTATACTTAACATTACAATGACTTGTATATTATGCATTTTCTACATCTCTGTACTAGAATTGTTGCATTGCTCTATTCCTCTGATAAAATGATATTTGATCATGTACGGGTACTTTTCCAAATGCAATAGAAATGTTCATTGCATCGTTAAGTTGGACCCGCCCTAGTCTTGGACATTGGCATTGTAAGTTATTAAGTGGAAGCTACCTTCTCTTGCCCCACATCCCCAACATAAATGGTGGGGGTGTTGAGTCTATCCTTCTTTAGTAGATCCACTGTGATATGTATATGTTTTTTTCCCTTTTTTCTTCCCTTATGTCATGGACTTTGGTGGTCCATCTGCTCCCTTGAAAGGACCATTGATTCGCATTCAGTGCAATTTTGCCCTAGTGAATCACTGAAACCTTTTTCTCCTTTGCATGAACTTAAAAAGATTGTTGCAGATAACTTGCTTGGTAAACTCAGTTCATAGCCGCATTTTTTGGTTTAAGTACACAAATGGTCCCGGACTACAAGGTGTTGTTTTGTCTAGTCTCATGACTATTAAAAGTTACAAAATGGTCCCCTGACAATAGGATGTTTTGTTGAGTCTTCGACTATTAAAAGTTATAAAATTATCATAATTTATTCTAAACTTGTCATTTTTTTTGTTAAAAAAATTGTTGGTTGTCTGAATTAAATGTTAACTTGTTGATTATGATATGATAAAATTTGATTTCAAAATTGTTTGAGTTGTATTTTGTTGATCGATCCTTCACTTATATTATGTCGTCAAGCAAATTCTTGAAATATTATGTCGTTAAGCCAGTGTTTGAATGCAATGACGATGTCCGTAGACATTATTAAAATATAATTTTATCATATCTCAATAAACATGTTAACGTACAGTTTAGACAACCGTTAATCTTTTGAAAGAAAAAGACGAGTTTGGAACATATAAATAGTTGAGACTCAACAAAATAATACCCAATACTTGAGGAGTATTTTGTAACTTTTAATAGTCGAAAGATTAAACAAAACAATATCTTATAGTGGGAGGACCACTTGTATACTTCACCCATATTTTTTCTTTTTTATGCCACTCTTAGTATCTTGGTGAATTGTGTATAGGGACCGGACCCTTTAGATTCACAACAACATATATGTATATCTATTTTTTGAGGGGAAGTGGCTGGTTTTATGCTCATGTAAAGATAAGCTTCACAAGGCATTAAATGTAAGAGGGCACATTAAGAAAAGATAAAAAAAAAGGAGGGAAGCAAAGGGAGTGGAATTAGACATGGCCTGCATTATTGTTGATAAAGCATGAAACCCACCTTTTATTTTCAGGCTTCGTCAATTGTGTTCGAAGTCATAAAAGTTAAAGCTGCTTCTCACATGCTCCTCTTTTGCCTTTAGAGCTGTGTAATCCAAGTTTATGAGTAGTTCGATTTGATGGTTACCAAACAGTTCAGATACCACAGCTCACCATATCTTCTTCATCTATATCAGCTCAAACATACTCGAAACATATTTCTCAGTGATGAAAAAGTATTATAAATAGATACTACATTATAATCAGTCAACTATAAATAAAACGTCTCATAAATTTTGATACTTTTATGTTGTGAACAACTTTGCTTTTTTCTTTCTTTTCGCATTGTCTTTGCTTTCCTACATGCTCTTGAAACCCATCACATGTCATGTGTTTGACATGAGCATGATAAGTAATGAACAACAGACAGTTCAGTTTCAAGTTAAAATCATAAGTTTGATCTTCCATCATGTTGCATGATGTTCTAAGCAGGCAAGTACCCAGGGATTTACTCCTAAAAAGTTTCCTTTTCCTTTTTCTTTTCTCTTTCTTGTTTTTTTTTTTTTATAAATTAACTTTATTGACGTGTACGTTTTCTCAACGTTGGTTATTTTTTTACCATTCATGTCCCGTATGTACCAAATATAGTTATAGAGGCATGATCTTCAAACTTTCAAAGACTTTGAAAATATATAAAAATAAAATAAAATAAAAAATTGAATGTACCACAGTGAAGGATAGTGCATCATGAACAAGTTGCAGAGCAGAGTGATATGAATCAATAAAAATGAAATGGCAGATGGATTTGTGAAACAAGTATTGGTCCTTGGTACAGGATTGGGTGGCCGGTGTTGACTCTTCAAAACACAACCACATGCCTACATCTATCACCAGGCCGGTGGACGTTGATGGAATCAAAGATTTCAGCGTCAAAAGGTGACACCGTTGAAGATTTTTGATTATGTAGTTTAAATTTCGGTTTTAATCGAATTAATCATTCGAATTGAAGTTTTTACAGTTAATCGATCAGTTAATTTTAAGTTTCGTTAGTTAATGATTAATGATTTTTTTTAAAATTTGACTATCGGTTAATTAATCAAAATTATTAAATATTTATTATATTATATATATTACTTAACCTTTAAGAGTAGTTAAACCTCAGTTTTAGTCAAATTAACAGAATGAATTAATTTAATTAATCAAAAATATTTAATATTTAATATATTTTTTCTTATATATTATTTATAAAGTTCGATCAACCTGATTAACTGATCGAATTAATCGAATTTTGTTTGGTTCGATTAAAAATATTTGAAAATTTTCTAGTTCGATTAACAGTTAAAGAAAAAAAATAATTAATGAATTTTAGATAATTCAATTTAGTCAGTTAACCGATAGATTGAATACCCCTATTTTTGGTTCAAAATATACAGATAAGAGAAGCTGCTAACAAGGAATGAATCATGTTTGACATTAGCTTTAACATCACCTTAAACATAATTCAAGTTGACCTACAAATTTAGACTGTCAATATCATAGCAGGAAAAAAAAACACTAAATTGGCAGGGGCTGCTACTAGGAACAACATTTTTTGGGGTTTTAACTATCACTTTAGCCACCTATGTTTTTGGAGATAAACTAAATAAACCAAATTAATCTATAACAAAACATAATTAAACTTCATAATTAACTCAAACACCTTTTGTATACAGTAAAAAGTAAAACCATCAGTTTTCAAGGGGGAGAAGCAGTAAAACCTCACATGGTTTATCATCATTAACATAACAGTTAAAAAGGAATCTTTACCTAATTGTAATATTATTTTATTCTAATTGCCTCTTGCTATTATATTTTGGTCTCCACTTTGAATAACCCATGAATGTGATCTTTTTTCCATGTTCTATTATCTTCTTGAAACAGTTCTGATTCTGCCCCTTTAACTATTTTATTCCAAACCAACCCTTTTTCCTCAAGTGCATGCCTTATTTCCTGTCTTCAACTTTCATGGAAGCATGATTGCTATTTCCCTTTCTCATATCATCTACAACAACAACAACAAAACCCAATTCCCATATGCAATGGGGGTAAGGGGGAGGTAGGGTAGTAGGCTGCCCCCAACGTCAGGTTGAGAGTAGCTTCCGTGGAAGACCTCCGGCAGTCAGAAAATTAAAAATATAGATAAAATGCAATGCATGTATAAATAAATACATAAATACATAGTTGAACAGTATTCATATGCAGTCATTAATATCATATGCGCGTCTGTACTGGGTAGATATCCCTGCAAAAAAAATCCCTGCGAAAAAATCTCTGTATATAGACAGAAACGTAAGACCCGACTAAATTTAAAAGTGGAGAGAATGATACACAGAAGTCAAACGATAGCAAGCCCAGTTCTAAGCCTTCATAAATACCAATAACAGAAACGAATAAAAAATAGAAGTCATGGAAATTACTACAAAGGCATTAAAAGAAGACAGAGATGATACACCCTAGAGATGTAACCCACACTACTCGACTATCCTAGTCTTAAGTCTCCATACTTTCCTATCAGAGGTCATGTCCTCGGTAAGGGCTAAATCAATCAAATCAGATCCCAAGCAGTCTTCCCACTTCCGCCTTGGTCGTCCTCTCCTTCTGGCACCGTCGACTGTAATCGACTCTACCCTCCTGACCGCATCAGACGGTAGTCGCCTAAGGACATGCTCAAACCACCGTAGTCTTCTTTCCCTCAATTTTTCGGAAACAGGCACCACCCCCAAGGACATCCTAATAGCAGAGTTTGTTGTCATATCCTACAGAGTCCTACCGCATGTCCATCGAAGCATTCTCATTTATGCGGTCTCTATCCTCCTTACATGATCCTTCTTGGTTTCCCAACATTCTGATCCATACAACAGCGCTGGTCTTATTGCCATTCTATAAAATTTCCCCTTAAGTTTTAGAGACACCTTCTTGTCACACAAAACTCCAGTAGCGGCCCTCCACTTTAGCCATCCCGCCTTTATACGGTGTGTAACGTCATCATCTACACCCCCATCTTTATGTATCATAGACCCTAGGTACTTGAAACAATCCTTTGAGGGGAGAACGTGTCCTTCTATGCATACTTCTACATCTTCTTCGTTTTGGTCCCTACTGAAGTTTGAACATAAATACTCTGTCTTATCAATATTGATCCTTAGACCTTTTTCTTCCAAAGCAGTCTTCCAGGTAGTCAGTCTACTATTCAACTCAGATTTTGTTTCAGCAACTAGGACAATGTCGTCAGCGAAAAGCATACACCATGGTACACCGTCTGGTGTCGCACAATAGATGTCGTCCATAATCAAGGCGAAGATGTAAGGGCTAAGAGCCGACCCTTGGTGGAGTCCGATTTCCACCGGGAATGCCTCGGTGTCGCCAACTGTAGTCCTGACGTATGTAGTAGATCTACAATACATATCACGAATCGCCCGGATATAAATAGTTGGGATCCGTCTCGTTTCCAAAGTCTTCCAGATCGTATCGCGGGGAACGCTATCATAAGCCTTCTTAAGGTCAATGAACGCCAT